CTGTAATTGAGATATATTAAAATGCCAATATCTGAGATTGCAACACTAAAGCAACAACATGAACTTCATTGTTGTTGTTAGAGTTTAATCCACAAAATACAATGTATCCAGCATTCAAAACAGCTTCACCTTCTACAAGACAACGTTTCCTGTCGCCGATATAGTCTAGAATTTGACATAAATTCAATGATTTGTTCTTCATTTGGTCCTCGCNTTCAACAAAAGTTTTTCAAATTCAAAAACATATTCCTGACTATTTCTGTAATGGAATATATAGCTTGAAAGAAAAACATATAAAATAATAGAATTTCAATTTTGACTTATTATTACTTTATTTTAACAAAAGAAAACAACATAAATTAAGAACTTTAATGCTACTGTATAAAAAAAATTAATTAAATGGAAAATAATTGATATTATACACACTTTTATTATTGTTATTTTATTTAGTTATTGAATTTCATTAAACTTAATTTACTAAGAACAGAGGATATATACATATATAAATACATATATAACTGAAGTAAGTCTATTTTACAAGTTTAATGTTTAATGAATGCTTAATTTATGCATATTGTATTCAACATTTACATAGTTTACAATATACCTGATCTGCTTTTATTAAACATTAAACATTTATATAGAATATTTAACCATTATACTTTTGTTTAATTTTTATTATAAGTTTTCAAGTTAAGAAACAAAATTTTTCTTTAATTCCAAGAAAGAATCAGAGAAAAAACCAAAATAACTGTAATTGGTTGATTTAACTTCAATGCATCTAATTATACTGTAACTGTCATACAAAGGATAACATAATAGTTAGATTTTTTATTTTAAAAATTTATAATTCTATGTTTGTATAATGACAACCTTTTATGCAAGAAAAAATATACTTTATTTAGAGAACTGATATAAATTAATTTTGAATAATAATTTCCAATTAAAAAAAACCAGAACTAACAACATTGCATATTAAACCTACCCATTAGAACAATCAAAATATTCCCTTTTGCTGTTTTCTTCTACTTTTAATCTTAACCCTAAGTAATTCAAAATTATTGGTTAATTCTGAATTATTTAGGGTTAAGTTATAAAACCTTAAAATCAAATCTAAGCTAACTCGGGGCTGAATTCCCAATATTTCTGAAAATTATTTCTTTTCACTTAATAAATTATTTATTATAGTAGAGCATTGATTATTCGAATGCCAATCAACTGAAATGTCAGTTAACCGAAAGCGTTCCAGTTGCACTGTGTCGTGCTGAATCGAACGTTTTTGATACTAAATTAACTTCTAAAGTATAATTTTTTTTGTTTTTATATTTTTCAATATATTTATTTTGTTTGTACAAAATAAAGAAATAATTTTTAACAACACAATAGCCACGATTATTATTATAAAAATTTTCATTAGGCTTGACATCGACGAAAATTCAATGCAAAGCGACATGCAATGGAGAAAAATTTAAACACGGGATATATTACTATACTATTATTGGGATATACTAAGACGAGGTCTGTTCAAAAAATGCATAGACTGTTTGAATTGCGTGGCTCCAGTTGGTTCCAGGACAATCTACTTGGTGTTGCTAGGTCTGTACAGATCGTCTGTACAGGCCGAAGAATACGATCGAAAACGTTTGTTTTTTCGAATGAATATTTTACTGGTTACTCAAAGGTTTATAGTGAATCCATTTTATAGATCGTCTGGTGATAAAGCCGTTTCCCGATTATAGATATCTTTATTTGTTGATTAGTTAAGCGGTTTTTAGTGAAGTGCAATATTTTCGTTTGTCGGATTTCAGAATGAATGACGTAATGGAGCAACGACTTGCTGCGAAATTTTGTGTTAAACTTGGAAAATCTGCGACTGAAACATTTGCTATGCTCAACACAGCTTATGGTGATGTTGCTATGAAGCATACAGCATGTTTGAAGTGGTCCCCAGACCCAAAAAAGCTCACCAAGTTCAATCCAATGTCAAGGTGATGCTGACAGTTTTTTTTGATGCTAAGGGTGTTGTTCATCATGAGTACCTCCCCAAAGCTCCACAGTGAACCAGACTTACAACATTAAAATTCTGAAACGTCTGAGGGACGCCATCCATCACAAAAGGCCAGAAATGTGGAGGAGTGGCGACTGGCTTCTCCATCATGACAATGCTCCAGCCCATTCAGCCCTCAGAACTTGAGTTTTTGGCCAAACACTCGATCACTGTTCTTCCCCACTCCCTACTCACCTGACCTTGCTCCTTGTGACTTTTTCTTGTTCCCCAAACTCAAAAGACCCTTGAAAGGAAGAAAATTTGTGACAATTCCCGAGATTAAGGCAAATGTGACAAAAGCACTGAAAGACATTACAAAAGAAGCATACCAGGACTGTTTCAACAAGTGGAAACACCGTTAGGATAAATGTGTGTGTTGGGAAGAAGAGTACTTTGAAGGGGACCCAGACATGTAACTTCTACCTAAAGTACATTTTGTTTTATGATGTCAATCTGTGTATTTTTTGAACAGACCTCATATTCTATATTGATAATGTATTTTTTCATACATAATTGGTTATCTGAAAAATTGATTTTCCAAACAATCCCAGTCCCCAATTGATTTGAATAATCAACACTCTACTGTATTTTATTTTAGTTTAAAACATATCTAGTAATATTCAGTTATTTTTATTCATCACAGCAAAAACTGGTATACTAAAACAACAATAACAACAAAGAAAACAACAATAACAACAAAAAAACCCAATAAGTACTAAAATTTACTTATACTAACATTTTCATTCATTTATAATGAACAAAATATTAGTCTAAGTAAATTTTAGTACAGTAGAGCATCTATTATCCGACTCAATTGGGGACTTGGGTTGGTCGGATAACTGAAAAAAATCGGATAATCGAAAAGATTGAAAAAATACATTATTAATATAGTATATTAGCATATTAGTATATCCCATGTAATTAGTATATTAGTATATCGCTATTAACATACTTCACGTTGAATTTTCATCAATGTTAAGCCTAACAAAATTTTTTTAAAATAATAGTCGTAGCTATTGTATCATTAAAAAATATTTTAAAATTATTTTATTGCTCACAAAACAAACGACCACTCATAGTTAGAAAATTAAATCTCGTTTAAATACTGGCCTCCCTTTCACGGTCTAGCCAGTGTTGCCAGCTAAAACACGCAAAAATTTAACAAAAATAATATTAAAGTAGCCAAGACATAGCCAAATATTGTAGTGCTACATCACTAGTGGGCATTTGAAATTTGCCGTCTAGAACGGTCAGTTAACTGATGTGATGGTTAATTGGGGATCAGATAATCGATGCTCTACTGTTCTTATTTGCTGATTTTTTTGGATGTTGTGATGTTATTTGTATTCAAAGATTTTTCTTCATTTGTTCATTTTTAACATACTGTTAGAAAAATGCATTGCTATAATATTAAGAAAAGACAAGAAAACTTTCATAGAAATGAAAAAAAATTTATTAATCAAATTAACAATGAACATTAATTAAAGATTACATATGTAATAAATAATAATTACATACATATATTATTTAATATAAAATTTTTTTATTTAATATCAATATTTGCTACTAATACAGAAGATGGGAAGTCTGATGGTAAACTCACAATATTTAAATTAATGTTAAAGAGCATTATTCTTAAAATATTGATAACACTTAAAGTTTAAAAAAATATATTTTTTATATTAATATAAATACCTTGTCTATGTATCATGCCACCATGCATAATGCGGGCAACTATACACCTTCCAGTTTCATCCAATTTAAGTGTTATACCCTTTTTAAAAAGAAAATATATTATTAAAAAATTTAACTATCAAGGATTTTAAAAATTTTTAATAAATATTTATTAAAAATTTTTAATAAATATTTAACTGTGGAATCTCATTTCTGAATATTTTTATTTTTGTAAGTGTTTAACAATTGGTTACATTTCAACAAAAACCAAAATATAACTAATTTCAATTCAGTTTTGAAAATGATACAGTGCACCTTTGTTATAGTGCTGCTCACTATATCGTGCACTCTGTTATAGTGCGGGCGATGTTTGCACATCACATTTGTGAAGCTCAAACACATTTATACAGGTCCATGTGGTGTTAGTGAGTAGCGAATTTTATTGTTACTGCTTATTGAGTAATTGTGTATGTATTATTGAGTTCCTGCATCTATTTTGAATAGTGTTTAATTATTGTATGCATGATGAGTAAAAGAAAAGCTTACAGTGTGAAAGAAAAGCTTGACATTATCGCTAAAGTAAAGAGCAGAGTTTCGAAAGCAAACATAAGTAGAGAATACAGCATACCTGAAGGAACTGTAAGGGGTTGGATGGCAGAGGAGACAAAACTGAATTCATTTGTTGATAAGCTTGACCAAGATACTGGGCTTACTTGAAAAAAGACAAGACTTGGAAAAAATCAAAATGTTGACAATTGCCTCTATGCATGGTTTATGCAAAAACGAAGTGAAGGTATTCCCGTGTCTGGAACTGCTTTAAAGATGCAGACTAAAAAATTCCATGTAAGCTTAAAAGCAGAAGGAGATTTTAAGGCTTCTGATGATTGATTGTGGTGTTGGCAAAAATGACATGACATCTTCCAAATTTCTATTTCTGGTGAAGCCTAGTTATATTGAAGACACTGCAGAATTTTCCAAACAGTTCACAATTTCCATTAAGAAAGAAGGGTATAAGGGTGATGCACAAGTTTATAACTGTGATGAGACTGCATTATATTACAAAATGTTGCCAAATAAAATCTTAAATCTAAAAAGTAACCCACAAAAGGCAGGATTAAAACTAAGCAAGGAAAGGATAACAGCTTTATTTTGTGTAAATAAAGCTGGTAATCACAAGTTGACGCCACTCATTATAGGTAAAAGTCAAAACCCACAATGTTTCAAGTGAATAAATATAAAATCTCTGCCAGTTGTTTATAAAAACAGCATAAAAGCTTGGATGACTTCTAACATATTTCATGACTGGTTTCACAATTCCTTTGTTCTCTCTGTGCAAAAATTTCTGAGAGGATTGAGTCTAGATCCAAGAGCTTTGCTTCTCTTAGATAATTGCCCAGCTCATCCAACGGCTGATAACCTTGTGTCTGATGATGGTAATATAAAAGTAATGTGTCTTCCAAAAAATACTACTGCTCTTATTCAACCCTTAGATCAAGGCATTATTAGTGCTTTCAAAACAAATTACCAAAGAGAAATGATGAAGTCATTATTAGCATCAGACATTGACATCAACATATTTTTTTTTAAAATGGATCTCAAAGACGTGTCCTACAGTATTAGACTTGCATGGCAAGCAATCACATCAGAGACAATTAGAAACTGTTGGAAAAATTAAATGAATCTAATAACCAAGTTGATCTCGACGAAACAACAACACATTCAGATTCAGCTTCAGATATTATTTTCACTGAGGTTGAAATTTCTCATATCTGGGAAATATTGAATGAGCCAGAAATAACTAATGATTCTTTGACTGATTGGTTAGATGAGGAAGCCAGAGAAGATATTTGTCAGAATATTAATGATGAAATGATTATCGAATCCATTTGCAGTGACGAAGATTGTCAAGAAGAAACAGAAGATGATGAAGAAAGTGCCAGTGAGATAGCTGATATACCGCCAACAACCAAAGAAGCAATAACAGCCATGGAAACTGTTATAAAATGGGCTGAATCAAAAGAAAATATTAACAGTGTCAGATTGTTGATATTAGCATCTTTCAAAAGGGAAATGATACAGAAGTTATCAAAAAGCAAACAAACAAAAAATTACTCACTTTTTTAAGTGATGTTTTGTAATTGAAATGATGTCGAATACATAGATATTAGTCAAGTTACAGATAGTGTTTGTTTTTACATACAGTACCATAGTTTCAAGCATACCTTATGTACGTAAATAAAATAATACATATATAGTATGTACATATTAAGATGTATAACTATGTTATGTAAATTTTAATAAAATACTTAATAAATAAATTGTTTTTTTTATTAAAATACATAATATGTATGTAGTTGATGGGATGTTTCAGTATATAGTTCAAATCATTCTGAGTAAATTTATTGAGTCACTACTGTGCCACTCGGTATAATGTGATTTACCTTATAACGCGGGTGTTGTTTCCTGCCTGACATGCGTGTTATATCAGGGGTCCACTGTATACTATATAATAAAAATACAAAATAATTTTGATGATACATAATTTTGTTTTATACATTGTCTCTTACTAGATTTTCTTTTCAATACTTTTTCATAACCTCTGTTTATTTGTAAAGCATTAAGTTACTGGGTTACACATTAGTTTTTCATAATTTCATATAATTAGAAAGAAATTTAAAAGATATTAAAAGTTAACTACTTTTCCTGATTTCAAGTACAAAATTGAGAAAGAATACAAACATGAAAAATCTAACTGATCAGCATTAATTAATTAATTTTCAAAAATTACTAAGTAATCAAATTAATTGAAATATTTACAATAAATAACTAATCCACTTTAAACTTTTCTAGCATTCATTGAGTTTCAAGCAAGTATTTTCAATTTAAATCCATTTAAAGGATCATCTCCAGATTCAGTGAATATTATAATTATTATATAAATGTATTATACAATAGTTATCAAACAAATTTACCAGAAGCATTCCTGAACCTGAAGATAACCCTTTAAAAGAATTGAATGCAAAAAAATTAAAGATGGATTAGTTATTTATCAAAAATTACTAAATATCACTAGATTATAATTAAAATAATTAAATAATTTAACAATCTGAATTAGCATATGTTAAAATTTTAATAAATTTAAATTCATTTATTTGCATTTTAAAAATATTTGAAAAACATGCTTGGCTGGAATTTAAATCTCCAATTATTGTCTAATACAAAGATAGATAGTGTAATTGAAATGCTTAAGTAAAAACTAATCCATACATGTATTAATTCTTGAAATAATGTAGCATAACAATAAAAAATTTTTTAAAATATTTCAAATTTTTTTGATGTGCAAAAAATGACTCTCGTCTGATGAAGGCCTCTTAAAGTGTCTGAAAACATTTGTGTGTTCATTAAATTTTGTGTGCTGGAGTAAGTATAAGAGGTGTGAAATGTTTTTAATAAATGATTCCAGTTTTCGAGTGTTTAGCATAACGATGATTAATAACCATGCTGATCACTGTGTTTAGTTTCTACAACTCTCATACTTGAGACTTGACTGGACATAATTTTATGGCTGCCATGGTGTGTTTATGTACTGTAAAAAATACAGTAGACTCCCTATAAAGCAAGTTCGTATATCACGGTGAAAAAATTGCGACCATATTCATATAAAGATGCTAAAAAAGACTCGTAAAATGCAGTAAAACGTCATCGCCGACTCATGTCGCGACAGGATTGGTCAAATCTGAACCAATAGTGGACGAACAGCCAAACTACTTACACGCTACAGAGAGTTTAGGCAGGTAAGTTGAGTTTACTATCGTCTGTACAGTATATAAATTAGGTACTGTAAGTCTAATACAGTACTGTAATTTTATACATTTCTTGTGAAAGAAATTTCTTATTCAACGACCATAAAAATTATTTCTATTAATAATGTCTCCAAAGTTCAATAAATTTTTCGCAGAAAAATAACTTATCAGAAAATGCGCCTGCCGTTTGATGTGCTGCTTCACGACAAAAACAAGCTTAAGTAATGGCGTCGTCAAACGGTGCACACTCGGTAAGTAATCCTACAATTTTTTGTTTATAGCATAGTTTATATGGATTATTCCCAAAAAATTATACGTGTTTTGGAAATTTTGAGTCAAATTAGTCTAGAATCGATTAATTTTATGGAAGAAAACCTTTCAAACAGCTGTAGTCTGTAAACTGCACACGTGCCAGGCTGTGATTGGCTCATGTACTTAAAAATTCCTACAACGCAAAATTCTTATAAAGTGGAATGTATCTACCACATTATAGGGGGGGTCGACTGTATTGTATCATTACACATACTCAACTTTAAGTTAAATCATTTATGTTTAATATAGTTCAATGCCATGACTAGCTTTTTATGCAAGATTTTATTTTTGTTTTCCCTTTTTTGGGAATAAACAAATATGATAGAAATGGTCAGCTAATTTTTAAGTTTAATCAAAAACATTATGAAAACAGCCTTCACAGCTGCAACATTTAAAATATGAAAATGAAAATATAATACTGATTACTTTTTGATATCTCAATTTAGGACCCCTTTGCCCTGGAGCCTTGCCTATACATAGGTGTATAAGCTTAAATCCGCTGTTTTTTAGTCAGAAAAACACACGTTTTTTTCTTAGAAAGCAAAAACAAATTTATTCAAAGTACTTTCCCTCACTAGTGACACATTTGTTCCATCTCTCGGGCAATGTGTGGATACCATGCCAAAAAAATTTCTTCTCTTTCGAGGCAAACCACTCATCAAGCCATTTTCGGACGTCTTCGTAAGAATCAAAGTGCCGCTCAGCAAACGCGTGGCCCATCGATGAAAAGAGGTGATAGTCGAAAGGGGCCAGGTCTGGTAAATAAACAGAATGGGGTAGCACCTCCCAGTTAAGTGTCTCCAAGTAGTTTCAGACCAATGTTGACACATGCGATGGTGCATTGTCGTGGAGGAAAGTCAGCTTGTCGTGTCTTTGCTGATAATCCGGCCTTTTTTCACGCAGAGCACAGTGCAATTTGATCAGTTGTTGGTGGTAGCAGTGAGCATTGACAGTTTCAACAAGTTTCAACAGCTCATAGTAGACAATACCTGCTGATCCCACCAAACGCACAGCATTGTCTTCCGTCCAAAGCGATTTGGTCTTGAAAAAGATGAAGATGGTTTGCCTGGATCAACCCACGATTTCTTGCATTTAGGATTCTCAAAATATATCCATTTCTCATCGCCAGTTACAATCCGATGCAGAAACGACTTTCTTTTTTGTCCGGCGAGCAAGATTTTGCATGTGTTTTGCCGTCACTCCATCTGCCTATTGTTCAATTCATGTGGCACCCATTTTCCGATCTTCTGAATCTTTCTTGTGGCACGTAGACGCATGGAAATGGCTCGTTGAGTAACACCCAATTGCTCGGCAAGCATTTTTTGCGATTGGGTATTGTCCTCATCCAAAAGAGCCTGCAGTTGATGGTCCTCAACCTTCCTGGGCCGATTTTCACGCTTCTTGTCACTCAGGTAAAAATTTCCATCTTTGAACTGATGAAACCAATCTCTGCACGTGGTTTTCAATAAAGCTCTGTCTCCATAAGCCTCCACAAACATTCGATGTGCTTCGGCAGCCGATTTTTTCAAATTAAAGCAGAAAAGCAAAGTTTGCCGCATATGCTCTTTTTCTGGCACGAAAGTAGACATGATTACAAAAAAAAAATATATGTTGTTGTATGAAATATCTGATGATGTGCACTGATTAATGTTGACAGACGTCAAAATCATCAAAAAAACAATATGGCGTTGTCATGGTAACTTAATATGCTCGCTTACGCCATCTATTAGCAAACAGCGGATTTAAGCTTATACACATGGTACACCCATTGCATTTGCCTAGTTCAAGGCTGCTGCTGGCAGACCAGCAGCGGGGACATGTGTCAGGGCACTGAGATGATGAGGTGCCAAAGTTCCAAAACTTATTTGGGCAAACTAATAAATTTATAGAAAACTGTCACATATGAATATGAAAAATTATATTATGAAAGAAAGTATGTATTATATTAATAAAAAGTGTTTATGATTTTTTAATTTGTAACAGACTAATGAAAGGCTTATCCAAAAGACACCATATTTAAATTTGTCTATAGTGCCAAATGCTCAAGCCATGGCCCCTACCCAGTTATGGCACTGATACAGTTCATGCAAATATGGTGTAAGCATAAATTATATCTGCCAAACTTAATGTACTGTACTTATTTCTGGTCTTTTGCAAAATCAAATTATATTTTTGTTGTTTTCAATGAACAGTTACATATTTATATTAGTTATATTAATTAAACAATATTTCTAGAAATATCACTGAACAAAATACTTCATAATATCAGTGACAAGCCTCATAGTTGCTGGGTAAATACAAATCTTCTGAGCAAGTTTTCCAGAAATAAGTTATATTCACTTATATAATTCAATGTGTTTTTTGTTTCTTTAATAATTTATGACAATATACTAATCTGATGCTAACAGAAATTCAATCTCTCTTTAATTGAGGTTTCATTGAAATCAATAATTGCAATGTGCTATTAATCTACCTTTTACACAATTTGTTTCATTCAACTTCCTTGGTTTTCACTACCTTTATAATATATAGGAAAGATTGAAAGCAACTGGTACTACATAACTAAAAAAAATATTACTGATTAGTGACTTGCTTTTTGTCCTTATATTATGTTACAGGTAGAATACTGTGTTGTACAAGGTAGCCCTTGTACAACACAGTATTCTACAACATGATTTCACTCTAACATGGTTAAAAAATGGGGGATATATCCTATATAACGACATCCAGTTTTGCTCTAATGTGGTTTTGAAAATCCTCTGTACAAAATTAATTTTTAAGTGTAATCCTCATTATTAAATATTTTTTTTTTATTCAAGTAAGCATGCTTGTCATCTCAAATTTGCCCACAGATTTTAAAAATTTTCAAATTATTTTGTGCTTTTCATCAATGTTTTCTTTCTTGTCCTATCAGTTTTCATTAAAGTAGTAAATAAAAACTGATAGGACAAGAAAGAAAAAATTGCATTAACTTTCCTATCAACCAGGTATCATCATTGTTGCTTTCAG